AAAAAAAATCATGTCGGCATTGACCTCGCTTTGACTCCTCCACTCAAGGTCAACCGGATATGATCATTCAATAGAACTTTTAAAACCCTACAATTTTATTTCGAAATTTTTTTTTTAATGTTTCGTTTTCGAGGTATTTGACCGTTTCCAGACTTTTCTAACTAAAGTGACATGCTCCATTACCGATGATTTTATTAAAAAATTTTTCGAATGAAAGTTGCCTGGCTTGAAGGACGACACATGACGGAAATGTGGACTTGACCTTAAGTGACCTTGTCAAAATCAGGCCAAGGTCATTAATGTTTTTTCAAATAGAAATTATAATTTTTTATTACATATTCTTGTAGCTTATATCGAGAGCTTTCCAAAACACTCTAACAAAGTTACATTTCATTGAGTACTTTCCGAGTTATGAGGCTTGGCAGTTAAGGCAAGACCGATCACTGATCCGACCAATTAAGGCAAGATCAATTCTAATATGTCTTTAGCCATTAATAAGTCTTGGCTTTAGAAGTACGAAATAAAACCTCCGTGCTTTTATTACAATATCCTGTAAGTTAACAAATATTCTTCATGCATACATGGTATTATTATATTTTTATTGAGTAGTGCACTGAACAACTATGACATTGTTCTAAGAGTTTTCTCATTTAGAGCGACGAAACAAATATATTTTATAAATTTTTTTTCACACAGATAGAAAATTTCACGGATGTAATTGTTTTTGGAGATTATTTAATACTGTATGAAAAATATTTATTATCTTACAGGATATTCCCTAATAACCAAATCTGTCCGAAACAGATTTTGCCAGACGCCTGCTGCAGGAGTTGATGACAAACTGATGTCAAAATTAATACAGATTCTGCAATATCAGATGATGTCGGCAGAATGCCAGCAGCATTGAGACATCTGTTACAAAAGTTTGATATCAAGAGGCACGGTAGTGCCTCGAGCCAAGTTCAGGCGCAATTTCGTTGCGCCCGAACGGCGCGAGGCACACTGTGCCTATTATTACGCGAAACTGCGAGTTGAAACGAGGTGAGATATTCATATCTCAGGAATGGCTGAACCGATCGATGTTTTTTAGTCCCAATCGATTCAGCCTTAAAAATAGGAAGAAAAGTGTTCTTGTGCTTTTTGTGTACGTTGTCTCTAAGTGGAGATATTTTAAGATTAAAATCTGAATCACAGAAATTACGATTCAGTAAGAAAGTAAGAAAGAAACGCTAGGCTGCCGAGGAGAGGGGATTTGTGCTTCTCGTTTTTCCGACACCAGAGGCGTTACGAGCGCGCTGAAGAAGTAAAGAGCAGCGAGTGCGAGTGAGCGAGCGATAGGGAATAAGATGGTCTATTCTTTTCAGCTGCACTGCGGAACTAGTGCAATAAGTTAGAATGAGACAACTATATTTTTTCTCACTTTAACTTATTGCACCAGTTCAGTAGTGCAGCTAAAAAGAACAGACCAAGAGAGAGAAGAATATCGGGTTGGTAGAACAGGAGGTGAAATAAAAATAAAATATTGCTAGTTTATTTATTTTATATATATTATATTATACAGCACGTGAATTCGAGTCGAACACGAGCAACGTGATCGCAACGTTGGTAGTTTACGTCGAGCAATGAGCGACAGTGAAGGTTTGACAATCGCGCATTTCGGTTTTGAAGCTTCCTAACCTCAAAAATATCACAATGCTGCGCTCACATTTTCGACTGAAAGTTGACTTTTCCAAGTTTTTTCACGATGTGCGTCGGATCTGCTAAATTTTTATTGATTGATCACTAAGATATTTGGCATAAGAGAACCATTTTTTTGGTGACGCAGGGGAAATCCATCATGGATACCCCCGACCCCTTTAGGGGGGGTCGGGGGTTATGTCAGACTCTTACTGACTAAAACCTCTGCGGGATGCCTACCTGTCGGACCGAGTGGAGGGGAGTCAGGGAAACTACTCCCGTATTCCCCCCCCAACCCCCCGGCCCCAAGGCTCGTTGCCGAGCCCCCCGCCATCCTTTACCGCGCCCTGTTCCGCAAAGGGAATCCAGGGTGCGGTCCCGGTCGGTCTAGGACCGACCGGTTGGCCTTCTGGTGTCGCCTATGGGGTGAGGGGGCATCCGCCCTCACCCCTTACCCCCTCTCCTAAAGTCGGGGAGGTGGGGTTTTTGGGGGAGTGGGCCCGCCCCAAAACGGGCACCACTCCCCCCTAACCTATCCTGTCCATGGCCAGGGGATCCATCTTCTTCCTAGGTGGAAAAAGAGCTGGATCCCCACTGCCGACGGAGTCGGGCCCGAGGCGGCCGAGGAGGTCTTGGACTCCCGCTAGTCGGGGCTCCTTCTTCCTCCTCAGCCGGTGTCTCCTCAGACCCGCCTAAATGGTCCCCCCCTCTGAGTTGCCGGCCGCCCCGTCGTCGTCGACGACGACGGATTGTATGTGGCCGGCGCTACCTCTCGGTGGTCTCCTTCTTGGACATTACGCTCCTACAGAAAGAGGCCGCCGCTTTCCATCCCTCCTCGCTCCTGCACATGGAAGCCACCATGCGTGGGAGCGAGATGTCCCCGTCGCGCCACCCCATGGCTCCGGCCAGGACACGGCGCTCCCTTTCCCAGGCCGGACAAGCGGCTAGAGTGTGGAGCGCCGTGTCCATGAGCACGGGGCAATGGTGGCATCTTGTTTGTTGGCTCCTTTCCTATCTGGTGCAGATACTTGCCAAAACATCCATGGCCCGTCAGTATCTGCATCAGATGAAAGGACAATCCGCATCCCCTCCTGCCTGCCAATTCTGGCAGGCAGGGGCGGACGGCCTCCGCCGTCTGGCTCCCGTACCCCCGTGAGTCGGACAATTTGACCGCTCACATCTCGTGGGTACGGGCCACGGCTTGAGACTTTAAGGCCCGCACATCCCTGGCCCTAAGGCCCCCCTCCTCGCCGAGCTCCTTTATCCTCCAACACAGGACTCTGCGCTCCTCCGCAATGAGCTCCACGGGAGGGAAGCCGGCCAGGGTGCTCGCCGCCATGTGCGAGACCGTTCTGATCTCGACATCCTTATAAACATTGGCCTCAGCGCCTGCCTCAGCCTTCGTTGGCCCTCGCGGCAGGCGCTGACCTGGGGCGCCCAAATTGGCGCCCCGTATAATGCGATCGACAGAACGGCCGTCGCGTATAGGCGGCGAGCCCTCCATCCTAGACCCCTAAGGCTGCGCTAGAGACTAGCGACTGTCAGTCCCGCGTTGCGCACCCTGGGGGCCAGATCCCTAAAGTGCGGGCCAAAGTCCCACCGGCCGTCCAACATTAGGCCGAGATATTTAATCGTCGGCCCGACGCGGATGCGGACGCCATCTACTAGGACCTGGGTCTCGGGTGGCGCCCCTCGACTGCCGTCGTGAAAGAACACGGCTTCAGTCTTTTGGGGCGCCACCTTCAGTCCCAGGCCCTCGATGGTTCCCACCACCGATGCCACAGCCTCTGCGCAGAGGCGAGCTTCCCCCAGCTCCTCCCCCCTGCTGCCACTAAGGTGTCGTCCGCGTAGCAAACGAAGTGGCAGCCCGGGGGGAGAGGAGTTCGCAGCACCCGGTCGAACGCGATGTTCCATAGCAGAGGGCAGAGCACCGACCCCTGCGGAACACCGCGCTCCATTGCGCGCCGACCTAGAACCCCGCCTTCTTTATTGAAGGCGAGGTCTCTGCCCTCGAAGTAGGCCGCCAACATGCGCCGGAGGTAGGCGGGCACCCCGTGGTACTCGAGGGCCCGCCCCACCTCCGGCCAGGGCAGGGTGTTGAAGGCGTTCTTGATGTCGAGAGACATCGCCAACACCCTGCCCCCTCTCTCCACGACCGTCATGTCCCGGAGGTACTGGACGGCATCCAGCGTTGACCTACCGGACCTGAAACCGTATTGACGGTCGTGGAGATCCGGCCCCTCCGAGGACATGTGCTGGACGAGGCGGTCGGCAATGATGCGTTCTAGCACCTTGCACGCCTCGCCCAGCAAGCAAATCAGCCTGTAGGCCGGTGCGCTCTCGGGTGTCTTGCTCTCCTTGGGGAGGAGGACCAACTTGGCCTTCCTCCATGCCGGGGGGAATACTCCCTCCTTAAGGCACCCACTTAAAACCCCGCGTAAGGCGGCGGATAGGCTCTCTTCGCCGAGTGCGAGAGCCCAGGCTCGGCCAGGGATCCCGTCGGGGCCGGGGGTTTTCCCCTTGGCTCCGAGCTTTCTCCTGACCTTGACGAGCTCCTCTGGTTCCACAGCCAGGCCCTCGCTCTAGTCCCCCTCCCCCAGTTCGGGGGAGGGGATCCTGGGCGGGCCTCCCTCCACCCTCGGAAAGAGGGTGTCGAGGAATCCTTCAAGGGCCCGTCTGTCCAACGACTCCGTCGGCGAGGGCGCCCAAGGGCGGGCTTTGCCCATCACCCTCTTGTACGGGCGTCCCCACGGGTTGTCGTCCAGGGAGCTCGTCATTTGCTCCCAGGCTTCTCGCTTTGCCTCGGCGATGGCGGTACGGAGGGCCTTCCGAGCAATCCGGTAGGCCTCCACCGCTCTCGTGACGTCCTCGCCTCTTTCCCGGGTCCGGCACAGGTGCCTTCTGGCATGGACGGAGTCGCGGAGGTCCGAGATCTTTTCCGTCCACCAGTACGCGACCCGGCGACGGCGAGGGTGAGCCTGGTGCATCGAGGCGTCGCAGGCCGGTGCCAACATACCCACTAGTTCCTCAGCCCCTTCCTGGGGGCTGAGGGCCCACTCACCTGGCTCTTTATCAAAATGCTAGGTGGCCACGAGAACGGCCGCCTTGAACCTATCCGCATCGAATCGACTGAGGGCCCATCTCTTGGGGAGGGGAAAGTCCCCCTCCCCGGGGCAGCGGAGGGCCCGCACCTGTGGAGGTCTGGGGAGGTAGAGGGCCCACACTATGTATCGGTGATCCGACAGTGTTTCGCCCTCCACCTCCACCTTCCACTCCCGGAATAACCGGGCGGCTGAAGGGATCGCCCAAGTGAAATCGAAGACTTACTCCCCGTTCAGCCGCACACAGGTGATGGCGGACCCCTCGTTTATCAACGAGAGGCCGAGTCCCACTGCCCAGTCTATGAGAGCCTCACCCCTGGAGTCCCTTTGCCAGGGACTATATCCCCATCCTTCCGAGTGGGCGTTGAAGTTCCCGGCAATCACGATGGGTCGGGGATAGCACCACCGTACCAAATCCCCGATCCTGTCGAGGACCCTCTCAATGCGGGCGAGGTCTCCCAGACCTTTATTATTTTTACGGTGGTGGAGATACACTCCCACCACCGTGATGGGCCCGCAGTCGACCGCCACAAACGAGGACCCCTTTGCCCTGAGTACACAGGGAGGTGTCCCTGCCGCGGGGTTTGCCACCATGGCGACCGAGCCGTCACTGCTGCCAAACCAGCCCTTGCTGGTATGTAGCACATAGTGCGGCTCGGTCGCCACCCCCAGTCCGGCACCCAGCTCTAGGATCCTGTTACAAAACAGGTCTTGAGCCCGGGTGCCGGTGCCGAGTACCCTGGCCTGTAGTACCCGGAGGGGTGTGAAGGCTAATCCTTGTTCACCTCCTCCGGGCTATCTACGTCCACCCCCTCATGGGAGACCTCGGACGGCAGAGCCGTCCCGGTCTCCCCCGAGGGGGTATTGACCTTAATGTCGGTGGCTTCCTGTGCAGGTGCCTCTGAGTGCACAGAGGCTTGGGGGGTCCCTACCTGTTCCCGCCCTACCCCTCGGGAGTATGGGGGGTGTCTACTCGGGGAGTCGGGGGTGACATTCCCGCCGACTCCCCACCTAGGGTCGATGAGGGTTCCTCTTCGCCCGAGGCAACCCTCCTCACCTTCTCCCTTCTTTTCGGGGCCGGGTCCTCGTCGGAATCCTTCTGCCTCCTTGTCCTCCGTCCCTGTCCGCTTCTTGCGTCCCAGGGGCGCGGTCTCCATCCTGGTGTCGGAGGAGGAGGTGTCCCGCGCGTACTGTGTCCCCCACTCCTGCGACATGAGGACGGTGGAAGCTACCTCGCCGTCCTCCCCTTGGTCCCTCGACGGTGGCGTCATCTCGGGTGGGTCCCTCGTTGGGAGGGTGTCGGGGCCGACACCCTCCACACCGTCCCTCGTCGGAGGGGTGTCGGGACAGACATCCCCTTCTGCAACACCCGGTCCAGGGGGGCTTCCGCGGGGGTTCGGACATCCCCCGCATCAGTCCCTCCCTTTCCGGTTCGCTTTTCCTCCTCCTTCTCCTTCCCTCTCCTCCTCTTCCTTCTGGGGGGGGGGTTTGCAGGCCAGCCCTCCGACCTTATGGCCAGAGGGCCGCCCCAGTTCGGCGCAGACCGGGCATTTTGCAGCCGCCGTGCAGCCTTTGGCGCGGAGGTCGGGACTACCATAGCAGTAGCATAGACCGCTGCGGTCGACGGTGCTGGTGCAGCGTTCGCGCACATGCCCCCAAACAAGGCAGCGGAAGCATAGTTGTGCGCGAGGCGGCAGCGTCGTCACCCCGGCGCGGGTCCACCCTACCGGGACCCGCTTCGCGGCCACCGCCAGCGGACACCGCACCACCATTGCCCCCACGCCCCGCTGGGAGACGTTGATCCCTCCCGCGGAGATCTCCGCGGGAGTGCATCCCCCAGCGCAGTCTACCGCGGCCGCTACCTCTTCGGCCCCGATTCCAGGCCCCGGGTCCAGGCCGAAGAGTCGCAACGCTGCAACCTTCTCCGGTCTCTGGACCTGAAAATCGGGGTCCTTTTCCGCCGCCAGCTTGCGGAGTTCCCCCGCAAGCCGGTCGGCGGAAGGTCCGGCCTTGAGGCCAGGCACCTCCACCATCATGGCCCCGCTCAGGGCCCTTTGGATCCTTAAGGGTCCATCGATTCCTAGGTCCTTTGGTTTTATACGGCGCCTGGCTTCGGCCATAAGTTCATGGTAGTGGCAATCGGAGCATCTCACCGTTATGGCTGCCGACTTCGGCGGCTTCGGTGCGCCCGGTCTGGCCGTCCCCTTCCCCGGTCCTACCTTGGAGGGAGGATTTCTCGATCATCCCTCTCCCTGGGTCTTTTTCCCCCTCCTTGTAACCATCGTTCAGGTCTCCTGCTGTTGTCCGGCTCCTTGGGTGTGGTCATCTGATAGCCCCTTCTCCACAGGTTGGCGGGCCCGCTCCCTCAACGCCGTCGCCGGAACTCCCATTCCTTGGGATTGTTCCTGGGCGCCTGACTTCCCAAGCTGGGGCTTCAGGGGAAGGCTCCCTCCTCTCCCGGCCGCCCTCTCCTGTTCCCTCTTTCTCTTCAGTCTCCTCCTCTCGCTCTCCCTCTTCCTCCTTCTTGCCTCTTCCCCCTTCTTCTTGGGCCCCGACTCCGCCCGCCGTGGCTGATCCTGGGCCCGGATCTCTGTGGGGTTCGGCACCTCCCTCCTCCTCGGAGCCGGCGTTGGCACAGGGACTCCCGATGCCCCCGGCGCGTAGCTACCCCTCCCCTCGACGTCGATGCGGGCCGCGACCACCCTAAGGTAGTCCACCCCCGCACCGACGCTGGGAGGGGAGCCCGGCACACTAAGGGTGGCGTCGAGAGCCTCCCTAACCCCTGCCGGCTTCCACGTCGCGAGGGGAGTCTCCTCCGGAGGTTGTCGTTGAACGACTTGATCTCCCCGGGGGAGGCCCCACTCCTTACCTCCATTTCGAATTCCTCCGAGAAGGGAGGTGGAGGTAGTCTGGCCGTCGTCCTCTTCTTTCTCCTCTTCCTCTCGAGGGTCCTAGCATCCCTGAGCTCCTCCTCCGTGGACGTGGAGCCCCCTGTTGAATTTGCATAGGTCCTTCTCCGCCTAGAATCAATGCTGGAGGGAAGAGGGGGGTAGTCCCTGAGGCTGAGGGCCACAGGGACTACCCCCTCTTGAGCTCAGAGCTTTGAAGGCGGCAGCCTTCAAAGCTCTGAGCTCTTCAGCCTGCCGCCCCATTTCAGCCCTCATCCTCCGGTTTTCCTCCCTCATCCCCTCCATCTCCTTCCGGAGGGCGGAGGAGGACCCACCCTCCTCCCCCTCCATCGCCGCTACTCTCGCGATGAGGGTGGCCATTGCCGCCTCGGATGTGGCCATGGCGCGGTTGATCAGACCCACGAAAGTACCCTTAAGGGTCCTGAACCTTCGGGTGATTATTCGTACCGCGCCCAAAGCTCGGCCCACCTCCGAGGCCAGCTCCGCCGCCCTCGCATCCCTCAGCAGCTCTGTGCAGGCCGGGTCTCAGTAGACCTCCTTGCCAGGGCAAGTATCCGCCATGGATCTGAAGATCCCCCTGTCGAGGAGGTCACGAGCCTCCGTCTCCAGCCGGCATAGCTCTCTCTCCCTCTTTTCCTCCGCCTCTCTCTTCCTCCTCTCCGCAATCTCCACCCCTTTGAATGTCGTGGCTGGCCTGCTACGCTTTCGCTGGGGGGATCAGGGGAGGGGCAGTCACCTCAACAACCGAGGACCCTCCACTGCTGGTGTTGTTGTTTGTCACCCTGGTGCTCTTCCTTCCTGTGTCCCTCGGGATGTCCTCCTCCATCTCCACAGGTGATGCCACAACCGCCGCTGCCGCCCTTGTTGTCCTAAGCGTGGAGGCCCTATTGGGCCTCACCGCCCTGGGCGACTCCTGGACTAGTGCAGTGTCTCCCTCGGTGGTTGTCCTCATCGTCGATGGATGCATCACCCTCGCCTCCAGGGCGACGGTGCATCGCCTCATCCTTACAGGGATTCTGGAGCCCTGTGATAAAATAATGTCGGACAGGATGACTGGCTTACCAGTCGTCCGGCCCGACGCTGCCGTCCCCCCGTTAGCTCCCCTTCCCCACATCCGAGGAGGTCCCTTTCTTGGTCCCCGGCATCCCGCTGGGGCAGGTCCTCTCTTTGAAGAGAGGGGACCTGGCCTGTTGGCCTCTAGTACCGGGGTCCCCTGGTCCGTGGGGATCCCGGACCCCAGAGACTTGTCAGTCCCTCGATAGGTGGTCGCCTGCTTCCTATCTGGCAGGCTCACTGTCCCACCCTCGCGGTCGGGAGGGGACAGCCGGCTACGTGCCGGCGAGGGCGGTGGTCTTCCCTCAAGTTGTGGCATCCTGGAGGCTAGCCTTCCAGGGCCCACGGCCATACACTCCCCGGGGGTGGGGAGGAGGCCCCTGCCAAGTGGACCTCCACCTTCTGCTCTTCACCCACGCTCACCTTTGAAAAATCACCCGTACTGGGTGGTCGACTCTCGGACGGGCTATCAAGCCCGCCACTACGGAGCCTTGAGCCCAAGGGCTCAGAACGCGAAGGTTCAGGGTTTTGCTTTTTTGTAATATGTAGGTCCATTTTTCGTCCCACGAATGTGGCAGGAAAGGGGCGTCGACCCCGGGTAGAGCCCCCACATTACCCGGGGTAAGGCTAAAATGTCCCTGGGGTTCGTCAGGTGCCCTAGGTGAGGAACCACTAGCGACAGGTCACGCACCTGCCATTCATCCCTAGGCGTGGCATGCCTCAACCGTAGGATAACGTGGTATTTTATAGAGGACCCGCCTCGTGGTCAGGCCAATTAAGGCAAGAACCCCGGCCCCAGAGACATGACCTAGGGTTACGGTGTGATAGGCTAAGGTCTGCCGGGGTTGCCTGAGTCCCCTGTATCAGAGTGCCGAAGCACCCTGGCCCCTCGCAATTGTGTCAGGTTATACGTCCTGACAAGTATGGGTTTGCAATCAGAGTTTTCCTTCCCCTAGAATGGTTGCCTTCACCCGGCTCACGAGCCCGTTCTGCCCGCGCTGTAAGATCTTTTGGGCCCCACGAATGAGACCCTCCAGACTCTATTAAAACCTGGAGGCAGCTGCCCATCCAGGAGTGTTATGGACGCTCTTAGTCTGGCCCCTCTGTACAGACCACTCCGGCATGGTAGAACCTGCCAGGGGCCAAAGCCCCCGCCGGCACAGTCGTCATGTCACATCGCCGGCTCTATACGTCATTGGAACCTTCAAGCCCCCCACCACGTCAAGGTGGCGCCCACGGGGGAAAAAAAGGGACACTTTTTTGGTCCCCTTCCCCACCCAATGACCAGCAACCTGGCACAATCGACGGCCATCCCTTCCGAAAGGGGCCCCAATGCTCGACGGCGTTTGCCTGACGGATCAGGTCGCCTGTCACCTGCCGGTTCCGACTATCTCCAACCGCCGAACACCAAGGTACTCCCCTTTGGACGGATAACCCCCGACTGTGTGCTCCAGATTTCCCGGACACCGGGTGTTGTACCATTGATCGCGCGCTGAATGGTGGGTGGTGAACCTCATCCATCCCGCACGCAATCCCGGCACCGTAATTATCATGCCTTTCGGCATGCGCCAGTCGAACTGCTTCCGGTCGCGGTATCGTGTGTCCGTATACACCCTCTACAGGACCGGTCAAGGCGCAGGGACGACCAGCTGCGGGAGTCTCCCAGTCCTGCAGTAGTGCATCCGAGAGGCCTCATCACCGCCATCGATGCTACGCCGCCACTCCACCCGGGCCGAACAACCAGGCACCAGACCGTCAGACTCAGGAGGATCAGCAGTCCGACGCCCGCCCAACCAGCCCACGCGGCAGGCGCCGCAGCACCGTCTCTAACGGTAGCATACCTCCATGACCCATACGCCCGTAACAGCCGACCAGCAACTTTTCCATGAGGGTGAGACTGGGACACCGATGAGTGCATCCCCCAAGGTTCCTCAAGGAATGCCCACCCGGCACCCAGAAAAACCTTCCTTCAGAGGCGACCTAAGCTAGTTCATTCGTCGCGCTTATCCTCTCCGGCACTGTGACGAAAGTGGCCCCATCCACCACCGCCACCCCAACCAATCGAGGATCAGCGGCGTCCCCAGCCCTCTCCGGACCCCACCCCCCACACACACATTCATTCTGGATGGCTAGCCATCCTACACCCAGGAGGAGCTCGTCCCGTCCCCTGAAAGCACCCCCGCTCCCGCCGCCGAGCGAGCCCCCCAGGCGCCGCGGAACTTCGGCCTAACGGATCAGTGAGTACTAGCCCACCGTTGCCGACTATCCTCCGCCCCCCGGCACCCAAAAGGCCCCTCCCGTCGACAGAACCAGGACCCACGGGGTCCGCCACGCGCTCCACCGGATGTTGCCATTCGGCAGCGCTCATGTAGAGGAATTAGACCACATGAGCTCTGCCTTGTGGACTTCATGCGCTCGGCTGTCTCACTAGACTAACGAGGCCGCCTCCCCGGGTTTGTTCTTTGAGGTTCTTCCTTCCTCCTCGGTGGACTGGGAAACCAATCTCACGAATCCGAGCACCCGACTGGTTTGTTCACGAAGTTGCCTCTCCGATTTGGTCGTCCCAAGGCTTGGCGAGTCCTAAACACCGCCCCGGACTAACAAGTCCAAACACCCGACCGGTTTTAATCAGAGTTTTCCTCTCCGGTTTGGTCGCCATGCTGCTAACGAGCCCAAACTCCCGGGTTTTTACTTTGGGTTTCCCTTCCCCTCGTTTGGTGTCTGTTCGACAGACTAACAGGCCCAATCGCCCGGGTTTATTATTCGGGGTTCTTCCTGCCCTAGTATCGGCTGCCTGGACTGCCAGACTCACGAGCCCGAACACCCGGTTATTGTCAGATTTGCTCTCTGTTGCGGTTGCCCGAAGGCTAACGAGCCCGCACGCCCGGGTTTTCACATTGGGTTTCCTTCCCCTGGTTCAGTTGGCTGGCACCATCTGCCTAACGAGCCCGATCACCCGGATTTAGTATTGGAGTTCTTCCTCCCCTAATAATAGATTACTTGCCCACGAAGTCAAGCTCTCGAGCTCTCGCCCGTGTTTGATATCGGAGTTTCTAATCTCCGGAATAGGTTGCGCAAGGCTAACGAGCCCACTAGCCCGGGTTTTTACAGTGGGTGTCCTTCCCCTCGTCGGGTTGTTTGACAACCTCCCAAACTAACGAGTCCGATACTCGGGTTTTCGTGGGTTTTCCATCCCTCGGTTTTTACATTGGGTTTTCCTTCCCCTTGTTCGGATGTCTTGGAAAAATAGACTCACAGGCCCGATCACCCGGGTTTATTAGTCAGGGTTCTTCCTTCCCTCTAGTTCAGGTGCCTGGACTGCCAGACTCGCGAGCCTGAATGCTCGGTTTGGTTCGGAGTTTTCTCTCCGTTTCGGATGTCTGGACCGCCAGACTCACGAGCCCGAACGCCCGGTTTGTGCGGAGTTTTCTCTCCGGTGCTGATGCCCTGAAGCTAACGAGCCGTACGCCAGGGTTTATTAGTCAGGGTTCTTCCTTCCCTCTAATTCAGATGCCTGGACCGCCAGACTCACGAGCCCGAATGTTTGGTTTTTACGGAGTTTTCTCTCCGGTGTAGATGCCTTCAGGCTAACGAGCTGCACACCCGGGTTTGGCATTGGGGTTCTTCCTCCTCTAATAATAGGTTGCTTGCTCACAAAGTCAAGCTCTCGAGCCCACGCCCGGGTTTGATAACGGAGTTGCCAATCTCCGGAATATGTTGCCTAGGCTAACGAGCCCAGTAACCCGGGTTTTTACAATGGGTTTTCCTTCCCCTCGTCGGATTATCTGGCAACCTCCCAGACTAACGAGCCCGATGTCCGGGTTTGGTATTAGGGTTCTTCCTCCCCTTCATATAGGTTGCTTGCCCACGAAGTCAAGTTCTCGAGCCCTTGCCCGGGTTTGATAACGGAGTTTCCAATATCCAGAATAGGTTGCTCAAGGCTAACGAGCCCACTAGCCCAGGTTTTTACAGTGGGTTTCCTTCCCCTCATCGGGTTATCTGGAAACCTCTCAGACTAACGAGTCCGATACCCGGGTTTTTACAATGGGTTTTCCGTCCCCTCGTTGGGTGCCTAGAAAATAGGCTAACAGGCCCTCATCGCCACGGGTTTTTATGGGTGTCCTTTCCCTGTTTGGTTGCCTCCCAAAGGCGGGGCTAATGAGCCCTAACGCCTGCGCTGCAGGGTCCTT